ACGCGGAGGAGACGAATTGTTGAATAAAGTCGTTATTTTTGTTTTTGCGCACAAGAAGTATTCTCGTAGCTTCCTAAAATTACGGTTGAACCCCTGATGTCACATGGACTATTTTAACGATGTCCTTACTACTTTCTGGACTTTGATCGGGGGACTTTGATCCTTTGTTAGGATCCTTGCTGTCTATGGGAGGTTCAGAGAACTCTCGGATTTAATACAAAATATCTTAATTTGCTCTGAAGATGAACGAAGGTCTTACGATTTTGGAATGACACGAGGGTGAGTAATTAATGACAGAATGTTCATTTTTGGGTGAACTATCCCTTTAACGATATTGACCCAAAATTGGTTCAGAGGCTGTATTTTGGCCAAACTTTGATCAATCGAAACGAAACTGTTTGCTTCATCAACACTATGTTCTGAGGCTACGTGCTAAAGTTGGAAACCGCACCACCTACAGGTCTTGAGATATGAAATAGACATGTTTGCTTATAACTATTGAACAATTTGTCAGAAAATCATAATCTTGGTGTCTATGGATTGCTTGTCATGGCGAATCCAGGAATACTGATTGGTCGCCATTTTGAATTTTGTCGTAAATTGCAATATCTTTTGAACGATTTGACATTGGCACAAAATTCGATAGGTATCACCATCAACATGTCCTGAAGGTACCTGAGAAGATTGAACACAGTGCCACCTAGTATTCCAGAGATATAAGGGTTTTTGCAAAAACGTTTAACTTTTGAAAACAAGTTTGTTTGTACTCTTTGTGACATTGTTCATTGTATTTATGCAGATTCTGACTTTGTCTTGTTTATTATTTTACAAGGACTCTCCACCATATTGAAGCAAATGAAAACTCTTTTTTTTTCCCCCGCTGCTACTCTTACAAATTGTCAATTTTTTTCCATAATTGGCTCATATGATCTTTGGACCAAGCCAGACAGAAATGACCAGATTTTTTGGAAAAAAAACTCAGAAATTCACCGTGCCTGTGTTTGTTGGCTTATGCTAGTTAGCTTAGCGTGCTAATTAGATAACATGCTAAGCAGTTGCCATTCTTTCTAGCATGACTCTTCAAAACCAAAGGCGATACCTTTTTAAAAGGTCATTATCATCAAATGTTTCTAAAATGTTTACATTCTGAGGCAGGTTGCCTGCAACAGCCATTTTAGGAATAGTTTGTGGTTCGGTCTTAGTGACTTAGGAGTCCTCTTCACTACTCCTAACTTTTCACAGATTTAGGAGCTAGTTTTAGCGCTAAAACGCTTTGTGAAATACTCTTCGAGCAAAAATTTAGGAGTCCTAAATTTAGGACTGACGCCCATTATTTTTAATAAATCGGCGAGTTATGAGCTACTTTTAGCCTTAAGATGTTTTGTGAATATGGGCCCAGGTCAACATGTTTATTAGTAGTTACTGTTAAATGTACTGTTGTACTGCATGTATGCAGTATTATTATTAGGGCCCGAGCACCGATGGTGTGAGGACCCTATTGGAATTGCTCCGTTTCTTATTATTCTTCTTCTTCTTCTCCAAAGTGAATCGCATTTTTGAGGGCCTAAACATTCTCCAAAACTCATGAAACTTTACACACGCGTCAGAACTGGCGAAAATTTACATCTGATATGGGTTTCAGAAGTGGGTGTGGCAAAACGGCTCGATAGCGCCACCTGTAAAATTTCAACGGAGTGCGCCTCGAGCTACGTTTTACGTACATGTACGAAAATCGGTACACATGCGTAACACTATCTCTTCAATATAGAAAAAATATAAAAAACATTAAAAAAAAAAAAAAGAGTTTAATGGCTGGTAATAAATATTTATGGCTAGTCAATTTTCTCAAGGCATAAAGTTAATTTTAAACTCTGATCAAGACATTTGTAAAGCTAAATATGTTATGAATGAGACTTTTTAAGGTTGTGTTTTTCAGTAGTATTGTGTGTATACTTGATCAATGGCCCAGTCATGCATTACTCAGATTAACAGGAACAAATAAATTCTGAAAAAACACCAAGAAAACTTCAAATCTAAATCCAGCTTGAGCGGTTTTAACCGTGTGAAACTCTTTCCAGGCCACCATCTCCTACTACCAGATCATGCACATGCAGACGGTAGCTCTGCCGGTGCACTATCAGACGCTGTGTGAGAGCAGTAAACTGTACGACCCGGGACAGCAGTACGCCACGCACGTCAAAGACCTTCAGATGAGCGAAGAGCCTGAGACGCATTATGAGTTTGAGGCCTACTCTGCCTCCTCCAGCCAGTAACCAACACTCCTCTTGCTTTCAAACATGGAATAGCATGGAAGTGGATGTGAATATTACAGTGAGGTGTTGTCTTGTCTTGAATTCAGGCCGTCAGTCAGAGCTCGTGCTGACAGCGCTAACGCTGATGCTCACAGCAGTGCTGAAGTGCCACCCACCGCTGGAGAAACCGGAGATACCAAAGAGGAACAGAAGAGAGGTATGTGCAATGATTTGTTTGTTCTACTTATTATCAAATGCAATATAAAAACATGTAAGCAAGTAGGTTTGTGTGAACCCACAAAAATGCACATCTAACAAAGTATATTATTTAAAAAAAAATAAGTGTAATGTAACTCATTTATTAAGAAATGTAATGTTTATAAATTTTGAATTAATTTAAAATGAAATTACATTAATTAACAAATTAAATATCAGTTTAGTTGAATAATGTTAATATAATAGAATGCTATAAAAATTATAATTTTATAACTATTTTTATATGTCGTATTTTATAATCCTAGAATTCAATTATGCACATCTCACAAAAGTATATTATTTAAAAAAAAAGCTTTTTTTATTAAGTTAATAAAACTAATTTAAGAAATTTAATGTTTATACATTTAAAATTAATTTAAAATTCAGTTACATCATTAATTGTAACTAATTTAATAATATAATATAATTACACTTTAATATAATAGAATGCTATAAAAATTATCTATCTATCCTAGGGCTGGACGATATGGTCAATTTATATCACGATATATTTCTTAATTTCGGTCGATACGATATAATTCCGATCTCGATATGAACACTATTTATCTGAAATAGAAATCTTTTGTAACATTATAAATGCCTTTATCATCACTTTTGTATTAGTTAAATTATATTACTAGTAAAATGTATATTTACTAGTAAATCTAAATGTTTCCCAAGTAATATATTAATAAAAGTAAATAATTAATAATATTTAAATAAAAATTAATAAGTAAATAAAATTTACTTTTTATATATTAGACTCTAATGAATTAAAATTCAATTATATTATTAATACATAACAATTATGATTGTATTAATTTTTAGGGTCCAAATAACTAATTTATTAATATTTTGTTTGAACTGTTGTATATTGTATATTCATTTGTCTAATTTATCAATTAATTTAAGTGTTATGTAATATATTCTATTATATTAAAAATAAATTATATTAATACATATGATTATTGGAATTAAAAACACAATTTGTATTTTAATTTCATTTAAATATAATGGAATTTGCATTTCATGCAAATGTAGATCTTAATTAAATATATATTTATTTAAATATAATGTAATAAAAAAAAAGAAGTACTTGCAAATTATTTGTTTATTAAAATTGTCAAATGTGTATGAAGATTTTTATGTATAGATGCTCGGTGCTTTCAAAAGGTGCTTGTTTGGTTTTAGATTTTAGATTTTTTGGGTATGTTATGAATATCTGAAATAGTTACGCAAATGGTTCTGAATTCTGTATTTCTTTTGTGTCAGCTCGAGGTCACATGACCCACAAATCCTGGGGCTCCACAGTGAGCGACACAGACAGTGTGGGAGGAGGAAGTGGCCTGGGATCCCCGACTACCAGCACAGGTACAACTTCCTGCCATGACTAATAAAAATTATATATATATTAGGGGTGTAAAGGTACACAAACATGATGGTTCGGTACATACCTCGGTTTTGACATCACAGTTCGGTCCGGTTTCGGTACAGCAGGAGGAAAAAACTAAACATACATTTTTTTTAAATAACTTTTTTTTTTTTTTATCATTTAAAGGGGTCCTATTATGCTCTTTTACAAAGTCTTGATTTTGTTTTGGGGGTGGAGAAAGCTGCTTAAGAGGAGAAAGTAACAGCAATATTGCAAATTACAAATAAATGCAGGTGGAGAAATTTAAATGGAGAAGAATATGAACAAATTGACAAATATCATTATATAATGAAATAAAGATAATCATTATTTTCCCCTTGTACAAACTGGATAATGGCACATTATAGGGGTGTAACGGTACACAAAAACTATGGTTCGGTACGTACCTCGGTTTTGACGTGACGGTTTGGTATTTCGGTACTGCAGGAGTAAAAAAAAACGAAACATAAATTGTTTTTTTTTTTTTTTTAACAATGGTTTACTGAACAAATTGCTCTCTTTAAATAAATTCAATTATAATTAATTTTCTTAGGGATAAAAATCTACCTCCGCTTCTGCTCTAAACTATACGGAGCCCTTTTACATTAGGCTACAATAAGTTTACAATTAACAACAGATCCCAAACTTAAAATCAATTACTATTTATTTTTAACTTCAACGCTCAAATTAAAAAATTGTATGCAAACATGTAAATTGTTTTTAAATTAACTTCTAAATTATACAATTTCTATTTGTTGAAATATAATAATTTCTAAATAAAGTCATAACTTGTTTCATAAAATATTTATTTAAACATATGCATTAAATAATTAAGACATCACTAACAGGTAAAATAAATATAATGAAGTAGGCCTAAAGTGTAATATTTTACTAAATGCTCTTCTCTAGACTTAATTTCTCTGGTGAATTAACGAGCTGTGGACACTGATGACTTGCCTGAGGTAAATGAAATGCTACGTGACAGTTTGCTTACAAGCTATTTTAAGGACGTCTTTCCGCGGTTGAAGCACTGATAGGCTTATTGAGCGATTACGCGAGGGGTGAGATGTTCATTCATGTTTATTTTGCGTTAAAACTAATAATAAATATGAAGGGATGATCGCGCTCTGCGCTTCCGTTAGAACTGAAGCGTTAGTTTACAGTGATATGTCGCGCCGCATCAAAGACCATCAAAACCGCATTTATTGTCTGAATTTCCTGAAAAAATTGAACGATGCGTACCGAACCGAAAGACCCATACCGAAAAATTTCCGTGCGAATACGTGAACCGTTATACCCCTAATAAAAATAAATAAATAAAATTATATATATAAAATATTACATTTGCATTAAATGTTTTTATTTCATTGATTTTTTTTTTCTTCTAGGTGACATAAGTAAAATGGCCCGAACGTCATCGACAGGAACCATGTCATCAAACGAAGACACCGATGAGAAAGACTCAAATGTGACTTCCTTTGAAACGCCAAGTGAGAGAAAATAGTGCACAAGTGTTTTCCTTTCTAATCTGTGCCTGTCATCCAACTTCTCACTGTCCGCTCAACGTTTTCCAGATTTAAACGGCATCGAGCCTGAGATCGTGGTGCCCACCGGGCCGTTCAGGAATGTGGGTCTGTCGAAAGCCGCTCAGACGCACAAACTGCGCAAACTGCGCTCCCCGTCCAAATGCAGAGAATGCGACAGCTACGTTTATTTCCAGGGAGCCGAGTGCGAGGAGGTGAGGTCATGCCGGCTGCGCTTGGGCCTTGTGTTTGAAATAAGCCAGGCTTATTAAAGGGATAGTTCACCCAAAAATGAGAATTCTGTTATTAATTACTCACCCTCATGTCGTTCCAAACCCGTAAGACCTTCGTTCATCTTCTGAACACAAATTAAGATATTCTTGATGCATTCCGAGAGCTCTCTGACCCTCCATAGACAGCAAGGATCCTTACATGATCAAGGTCACATATTTGGAGAGTGTCACATATGTATGCAACGAATGTACGCGGATGCGTTGTTTACGTTTAACAGCGTATCCACGTACGGTGCTGCTGACACAGAACCGCATACGTTGTTTATGTATGTGATAGGCTACTCTCCAAAATGGTGCTATAGGGTGACACGACGGAGACGAATTGTTGAATAAAGTCGTTATTTTTGTTTTCTTTGCGCACAAAAAGTATTCTCGTAGCTTCGTAAAAGTACGGTTGAACTGATGTCACATGGTTTATTTTAACGATGTCCTTACTACGTTTCTGGACTTTGATCGTGTTAGGATCCTTGCTGTTTATGGGAGGTTCAGAGAACTCTCGGAATGCATCAAAAATGTCTTAATTTGTGTTTAGAAAATGAATGAAGGTCTTACGGGTTTGGAACGACATGAGGGTGAGTAATTAATGACAGAATTTTCATTATTGGGTGAACTAACCCTTTAAAGTCTGATTTGCTCTTGGCAGTGTTTCCTGGCCTGTCACAAGCGCTGCTTGGAGACTTTGGCCATTCAGTGCGGCCACAAGAAGCTCCAGGGTCGCCTTCAGCTGTTCGGGCAGGATTTCTTGCAGGTGTCCGGCAACAGTCCCGACAGCATCCCCTTCATCATCAAGAAGTGCATCGGCGAGATCGAGAGAAGAGCGTTGAGAATGAAGGTACGTTCAGATCCAGCAGGTCTCGGCCAATGGAAATGCAGGATCGTGCTGATGGTCCTCCTCTCTGTCAGGGTATTTATCGCGTGAATGGGGTGAAGACGCGGGTGGAGAAGCTGTGCCAGGCGTTTGAGAACGGCAAAGAGCTGGTGGAGCTGTCACAGTCCTCGCCACACGACATCAGCAACGTACTGAAGCTTTACCTGCGGCAGGTGAGCCACCACTGCATCAGGACATTTATGAAAAATCAGTTATATAATATTGTGGAAATGGCATTTTTGGGTTTTGTATATTATATTATATTATATTATATTATATGAAAATAAAAAAAATTATATTGTAATTGACAATTTAACAGTTTGCATTTTTTGTTCACCTAAATGTAACTAATTTATTAATTTATATATTGTTCTATTAAATCACACTATAAATCTAAATTGATTGTATTAAAACATCATAACAGAATTTGCATTTGTATGGTTCACTCAAATAACCCAAATAAATGTATTAATATTTAAATTGAAATGAAATAAAAAGTTAATAACTATAAATAACAATAAAAAATATATATTATTTATCTGATTTATTAATAATTTATTAATTACATTTTTATATATTGCATTCCATTACATTAAAATTACATTATTAATAAAAATTTAACAATTAGCATTTTTGGATTCCCCAAATTTAACTGATTTATTAATATTTTGTATATGTGTGTATATATATATTTATTTATTTATTTATTTTTAATTTTCAGTTATATTAATAATACATATTATTATAATTATTAATAATTTTTGGGGGGATTTTTGCATTCACCCAAATTATAAATTTAATATATTATTAAAAACTGAAAATTAAATTTTTAATATAAATATAACACTGCATTTTTGGTGAACAAATCCTTTAACTGTAACGATAAGCTGCCTTCATTGTTAGCAGTGGCTTTCATATCCTCATATGTTCACCAAAGTCAGTTGTTACATCCTTATTTTGTATTTCTGTCTCTTCCTCAGCTTCCAGAGCCCATCATGCCCTTCCGTCTCTACAATAGTCTGATGGGTCTAGCGAAGGAAAGCCTGGCTGTAGTGGGTCCAGAGGGAGCCGAGACGGGCAAAGGGCCCGACCTGGTGGACCTCGGCCCTGAGACGGACCCTGAACTCTTGGCCCTCGTGGACAGACTCAAGAATCTCCTCAAAGAGCTGCCCAAACCAAACACTGCCACTCTGCGCTACATAGCGCGCCACCTGAGAAGGTGCAAAGCCTAGAATTGACTTCCTCTCACATTTCAGGGTTTATAGACTGACTCTCTTTATTAAACACTGATTATTTGGTTAATGTCCCTGTTTTCAGGATTGCAGAACTGGAAGATGACAATAAGATGAGCCCGAGTAATCTGGGCATCGTGTTTGGCCCCTCACTGATGCGGCCCCGGCCCTCAGGGGCCACGGTGTCTCTGTCGTCTCTGGTGGATTACCCGTACCAGGCCCGCATAGTGGAGACCCTCATTGTGTTTTATCCCGCCGTTTTCCATTCGGACTCCAGTCGGCCTGCATGCGCCAGCACCCCCCGCACACAGTCTCTACAGCAGGTTTGAGATTCAAACGCAGTAGATCAAATCTCTCATGTTGTGCAAGCGGTGCGTTTTAATTGGGAGGTTAACTGGTTAAACCGTTAATGCAGAACAGATGTGATGTTTTGGTCTGTGCAGGAAAGCAGCATTGATGGAGAAGAACACTGTTCGAATGATGAACCCGGCGCTGCAGAGTCAGACAAGTTAGAGGGCCATGGTATTACAGACTTTTATTCCTAATATTATTGGTTTACATTCTTCAGATGCATTGTGTGTGTATATATTTAGATTTATTATCTTTTGATATTTTAACTGTTTTAAATGTTATATATTTCATATGTTTTATTTGAATTAATTCATATCAATTTATTCTTATTTAATATACATTTTATATAAATTGTCCATTTCGAAATACCTTTATACTCAAGTTAGTTTTTCACTTTATTTTGTTTGCCTTATTACACACGCACACATAAAATATATATATTTTGTGAGACTTGTTATAGCACTTGTATATCATTGCTCTTTTGTTAGTTTTGATTGCTTTATTGTCCTCATTTGTAAGTCGCTTTGGATAAAAGCGTCTGCTAAATGACTGTATATATTTCAAATATTTGACATTTTTGTACTCATTTAAGTTTTTCATTTTATTTATTAGTCTTTCATATTAAATGTATTTAAAGTGCATATTACTTTATATTTATATATAAATAAATTACACCATTATTTTTTATATTTTTAAATATTAGAAATTTTGTAGTTTATATTGTATTTCTATTATATTTTAGTTTTTAATTTTATTTTTTATCATACAATATCACCTTTATTTTAACATTTTTAAAATTTAAATTTTACATTTATTTTGTATTCAATACTTAGTTTTTTTTATTTGCCTTTCATGTTAGTTTTATTTAATGTACATACCAATATATTCATATAAATGTAAAATTCATATTTATTTAAATGTATCTTTTTTTTTTTATATTTTAAATTTATTTTGTATTTTTATACTAATTTAAGTAGGTGTTTAGTTTGATTTATTTGACTTGTATGAATAATTATATAT